GATGGACAGCCCCTGTGAAAACAAATGAGGCTGGAGATGCTGTTTCGAAACCCAAGAAGGATTGGACTGCAGAGGAGAAACTTGCAGCAAAACACAACGCAACAGCTCTGTCCTTAATCTTCAAATCGCTGCCTGTAAATCAGTTCACCAGAGTTCAGGGATGTGAATCTGCAAAAGAGGCATGGGATATCCTTCAGGTCACCTTCGAAGGAACCAGCAATGTGAAGAGAACCAGACTTGACATCTTAGCATCTGATTTCGAGAACTTGACTATGGGAGATAGTGAGACTATTGAGGAATTCAGCAGCAAGCTGAGTAACATCTCTCAGAGGCTATAGTGTTGGGAAAACGCTATAAAGATAAGAAGTTGGTTAAAAAATTTCTCAGAAGTCTGCCAGAGAAGTTTCAGCCACATAGGTCTGCAATTGATGTCTCGTTGAATTCTGATGAGTTGAAATTCGATCAAGTAGTTGGGATGATGTAGGCATATGAGCTACAAGTTAAGAAAAAGGAGCAGGCGAGTGGAAAAACTTTCGCACTGAATACTGTTGACACTCAGGAATCTGCAGATGATGATAAAGTTGGTATGCTTGTGAGAAAGTACTTCAAGAGAATGGAGCGAGGTCAGCAACGTGGGTCTGCTGTCAACAACAGATCAGGGCAACAGAAAGAATTCAAGAGGAGTGATAAGTCTGAGAAACAGTGTATTGAGTGTGAAGGCTATGGACACTACAAGGCTGAATGCCCGAATATGAAGAAGAAAAATGCACTAAAATGTTATGAGTGTAAGGGCTATGGTCACACCAAGGCTGAATGCCTAGGAAGAGACTCCAAAGAGGAATCGTATGTGACTTGGAGTGAGAGTGATACTGATGAAGATGAAGGAAAAGGAGAAGTGCTAAACAATTTTGTGGCATTTTTGGGCATCATTGAGGAAGGCGATGAGAGTGTTGGTATGACAGCTCAAGATGATGTCAATCAGGTAGTTGGTGATGAATCAGAGGATGATGAAGCAAATCTTCCAACTGAAGAACAAGTTGCTCTTTTGATCAGGAGTCTGATGAGCAAGACAAAGGAGATCTCTGATCTAACCACCGAAAGAAATGAACTTCAATTGAAAGTTTCTGTGATATCCAAGGATCTTGAAGTTGAGAAAGTCAAGTCGCAAGGTCTTGAGAGGCAGTTGGAGGATCAACTCAGGAACATCAAGATGCTGAGCAAAGGGACTAAAGATCTGGACAAACTCCTAGCTGTGGGACGAACGGCTAATGTCAACTGGGGTCTAGGGTATCAAGGTGGAAACTTCAATGGTACAACTAAGTTTGTTAAGGCAGCTCCACAGTCAGCAGAAGCTACTCAAAGGAAGTCTGTTCCTCAGAAAAATCAGAGACGCGTTGTGTCCTCATTTAATCAGGAACAATCAGCTCATGGTCGAAAATCAAGAATGGCTTCTCACGAACAGGTTCAGTCAGCGTACGGTTCTGTGTTTCGTCTTCACCGTAGCAGAAGAACAGGTTGTTGGTACTGTGGTAATCTGAATCACTACAAGGCACAATGCTATGGATTTTTGAATTGTGTGTCTGCAATGATGCAGCATCAGCAATATCACAGGGATTCAAAGAATACGAGCAGAGTCTACATCAGAAAGGAAGATCTGTACTGCAATGTTGCTTACACTGCTGATGAATAGGAGTCAACTCAGGAGAAGTGGTATTTTGACAGTGGATGCTCAAGACACATGACTGGAGCTCAAGACAATCTGTCAGAGTTTACACAGGTTTCAGCAGGCAGAGTTACTTTTGGAGATGGTGCAAAAGGAAAAATCAGAGGAAAAGGTACCACAGGTGGTGAATCTCAACCAAGATTACATGATGTGTTTCTGGTTGATGGACTGAAGGCCAATCTGATTAGCATCAGCTAACTGTGTGATGAGGGTCTGGATGTAACTTTTACCAAGGCCAACTGCAAGTCTGTGGATCGTCTAGGACGTGTTCAACTCGAGGGACAGCGGTCTGGCAACAATTGTTACATGTGGATTTCTGGTAACCCTTGCTTTCAAGCAGCTGTAGACTTTCAAATTGAGTTGTGGCATAAAAAATTAGGACATCTGAATGTTCGTACGATGCTGAGACTTGCACATCTGGAGGTAGTTCGAGGAATGTCAAAGCTAAAGGCTGATCCTTACTTTGTGTGCGGACCGTGTAACAAGGGCAAACAAGTGAAGGTTGCTCACAAATCGGTTCCTGATGTTCGTGCTGTTCATGCTTTGGAATTGGTTCACATGGACCTAATGGGACCAATGCGTGTCCAAAGTCTGACAAGTAAGCGTTTTATTCTTGTTATGGTTGATGATTTTACGCTCTACACATGGGTCCGTTTTCTACGAGAGAAATCGGATACTCTTGATAGTTTCAGAATTCTTGCACTGCAACTCAAGAGTGAAAAATGGGGAATCAAGACAGTACGAAGTGATCATGGTGGTGAATTCCAGAATGAGTTGTTTGATCAGTTTTGTGCTGCTCAAGGGATCATTCATCAATATTCTGCTCCTCGCACACCTCAGCAGAATGGAGTTGTAGAGCGGAAGAACAGAACGCTGCAAGAAATGGCTAGAGCTATTTCTGGGATGAAGCAATAAACACAGCATGTTACATCATCAATCGGGTCTATGTGAGGAAAGGAACCAACAAGACCTCTTATGAGCTGTGGAAAGGAAAAACACCATCAGTCAGCTACATCCATGTTTTCGGATGTATGTGCTATATCCTTAATGACAAGGATCAACTGGGCAAGTTTGATTCCAGGAGCGACGAAGGCCTGTTTCTGGGGTACTCAGGCAACAGCACAGCCTACCGAGTTTACAACAAACGGTCCAGGATGGTTCAAGAGACTGTTAATGTGGTGTTTGATGATGCGTCTTTTCGTGTTTATGAAGATGTGTCCTCAGTAACTAATGCTCCTAAGGATTTCAATGAAGGAGTTGTGGGGTATGAACCAAGTCCAGAGCAGGAAGTTGATGATGGCTCCGACGCCGATGAGGACACGACTGAGCTTCTACCTACTCCTCAGGTGCATAAGAATCACACCTCTAATGATATTATAGGTACGATTCAGGGGGGCAGAGTTACTAGAGGAAAGAAGATTGACTTCAAGCAACTCGCTG